ACCGTCAACTCTTGGGCTACTCTTTTACCAACGAATAGTGGGATTGACTGTCACATTATAACGCCCCCACGGCTGAAAGGGCGAGCATGTTTGGTGGGACGGGGATTCGAGCCCACGACCCACAGATTGCGAGTCGAGCACGCGAGCCACCTGGTCATGCTGGGCCTCGCCGCAGGGAATTGAACCTTAGCATTGCAAGTCAGTAAACTTACCATTAATCCAAAGGTGCACCAGTAACAATGTACCCAAACAAATTATAATGAAGGCCATGTTGCCACCATAAATAACTTAATTCATCATCTACAAGTTAGAATGATAAATAAATCATTGGCATCACCAACTAAATGATGGGATTAAATGAATTAGAATTGCTTAAACTTGATGAAGAAGGCTATATCCCTAGGGACTAATCTGAAATCATCATAATGCATTAAATTTGATATTTACTTTTCAGTAAACTTGTGTCTCTACAATAATCTGAGACGATTTCATAAAGAGATATATATTTTTCTAGAAGTTTACAGCATTAATACGGTAAGATTTACATATACAATTAAAGAAAAAATTTAAAAAAGGAAGTAAATGTAGGAATGGCTAATATCAATCCTTCAAAAACAATGAAAACAAGATAATACGGATGGCACTTGCATCCTCCCTACTTAGTAGCACAGGCACACAGTGCAGTAGAATGTTAACAGTTGTAGTTTGAAGTTAAGCACAAAGCTACACAATGGGCTATCTGTGCTCTGCCCGCCACAGGTATAGGAACCCGGTTTCTAGCTTTGTAAGTCCGCAGGCATACCGCTGTGCCACTGAGGTGGGGAGAATAGACAAAAATAGGATAAATGAAACGGAATTGTGATTGAATAATTATATATATGTTACTAGATGTTATTTCTTGCCTGTGCTATTATGTAGGGATGATACAAGTGTCATCTCTACTATCTTGTTTGTATTGTTTTTGGAAGATTGATATTACCCAACACTACATTTACTTCCTTTTTTGAAAAGTTTTTCTTTACTTGTTTGCTTCTTTAATGGAGTTAGTTAATTTCGTATGGTGTATCCGGGAGTAGGATTGGCGTCCTAATCCGAACACCGCGTGAGCATGTTTTCGTGTGACGGGGATTCGCGACAATGAGGTTCCAACTGTAATATTTGTTGTTTATCTATTATTGGCTGGTAATTCCTGTTTCATCCTGTACTTAATCTTTTTAAAGGAACACCAAATTTCTGTAAAAACAAACAAACTACTAACATCAAGGGGTAATGATAACATCGTTTACACTAGAATTATGATTTGATTTTTAATTACTACTAGTTATTTATTAGTAATTCTTATAAAAGCAGATACTCCGTTTGAAACTATGCCACCTCAATGAAATTGTTGACACCATTGTTTTCGTTTTTGGGTTATGTAATAAAAAAAGAACAAGAAATTCAAAGTTTTTTGCTATAATATTTACAGACATTCCCAGAACTTGTGACTCAATCATTACATAGATATTGTTATAAAAGGAAACACTGTATAGTATTGTCAAGTTCTGATGACCTATTGAAGAGATATTTAAAATACCATTTCAATGAACAATCCGAACCATCTCTACATAGGCCTGATATTTGACATACAACAAATTTTATTATCAAACTGAGCAATCTTGTCCAATTTATCTTTTTTATCATTAATTATATTTTGTTTAATTTATCTTTATGTTTTAATTCTTCTTTTAGATGTATCAATGTACGAATACAGATGTGGTTTTGTTTACTTACACCACGTTGCAGGCTTAAGTAAGAATATACAGGGGAGTATTAGGGGAGGGGAGTTTCGAACGACCATCAAATATTCTACAAAAAATCTAACAGGCTCACTATTTTCTATTTTTTTAAATATACATTCACCTAACTTCTTTGTGTGTAGAGGAAAAAGTCCACATTTGGAAAAAAAAGACTCTCCTGCTCTGTAGTGCTGGATACACTCCTAAATATATGACTTCCTTTATTTAGAATGAATGAGCTATTTGCAAACTATATTTCGTTGTTTTTTTTTAATTATTTTGAAAAAGAATATTCAGCATGTCTAATAATTTATATGATGATTGTTTTAACATTTTATGGGCCTTTCTTTCGCATTTTTCTTATTCTTTATTTGGGTATTTTCTATGAACGATTTCCTAACAAGAGATGACATTTTAGGAGCCCTCCAATAGCACAGCGGTATGTCTGTGGACTTACAACGCTAGAATCCGGGTTTCGATACCCGTGGTGGGCAGAGCACAGATAGCCCATCGTGTAGCTCTGTGTTTAATTACAAACAAAATTTTAAGAAATTATGGATGTTTTTCAGTTTTATGTTTTCCTTTTCTAAATACTGTTGCCGTTAATATAAATATATTGAAAGGACAGTTCTTAATCAGTTGGTGAGAAGTGACCTTTTGATGAACTTACGTAAATCTTTTTTTTTTTTGTTTGTGTAAATCTGTGTAACATGTTAGGAATATATTACAAATCGCCTTAAGTTTTTCATTCATTCAAGTGCGTTTTGGCATAACTTGTTACTGTTAATTCATTTGTTGAAAACTCTCCATATGTTATTATAATTAAAAAAAAAATCAAAATCATTTCACATTTTAAGTGAATGAATTTAGCTCCACGTGGATACTTTTTTATTATCACTCTACCAAATCAGATTATATGTGATGTTTTTGAAAATCAAATTTTCAACTGATGGTTTTATGGATTATGGAATATCGGATTCACAATCCCATACATTAACCACTGGGCTGTTCTAGACCGATGATCTATGAAATGAGCCCAATGGATTATGTAGAAGGGGATAAAAACATCATTTTTTATATAACATTAACTGTAACATTAAGTATAATATTTTAATAGCTTTTTGTTCGTACAAATAAAGGTTACATTGAAAATATTTATTTTTTAAAAGCACTGCTTTTTTTTAAGTCCGTTTTAATAAAGGAATTTTGAGTCAAGTTTTAAATTACGTACACGTTTTATTCATACAAAAGCAATCATTTTCATTTTGTAGAATGGAATCGTGCCATTGAAATACTGACAACACCTATGTTTATTGTAGGACTATTTATTTATTCTTAAACATGACCAGTGAAAAACACCAAGATTTCAAGATTACTATGTACAGAAAAACCGGTCTAAAAACCCAAACCCATAAATTTAATGTCACTTATCCCTTATGTATAGATTTCATCTCTTACACAAATGTTAACCATTCTAAACTGTACTGTCAAAAAGTTATTTTTTATAATGACGTACAACTTAGAAAACATAAGAAATGTAGAAAGAAAGCATTTTTTGTTGTTTTAAGAAATCTCCGTGCATGATCGCTTTTGTCTACCGGTAGTTGAAAATTTAATAAATGAGTATTACAATGTGATGTTAAATTAGAATCCAATACTTGACAGAAAGTCTTTGAAGCCTTCCTCGCCGCCGTGCATGGATCCCATTATGTCATGAAGCGCTTCCTCGGCTTCTTTGCTATTCATTTTACGGTCCATCTTTACGTGCATCTCTTTGACTTGCATATGGCTTTTGGTATGAGGATCGTGTATAGAATAATGCATTTCACGGCCGTAGGACTGTGAGTTGCCGTAACTTTGGTCATGAGCTGGTTTAGTCTGGGCATAAACTCCGGCTTGAGGCACACCGTAAGCCGTCTGGCCAGCGTAAGCTCCGGCTTGGGAATGACCATAAGCTCCATAAGGGGGTTGTGGATGGACATACAACTGGGAATCATAACCGTATCGCTGAGGAACAGCGTACGCTACACTAATCAGGAATACGCAAGCAGCAACAACAAACTAGAAGATGAAATAAATGAACAATAAATGAACCTTCTGTTGATAGGTTTCAACGATATTGTTGAACAAAATTCGCTTACTTTTATCAAGTAAATAACAATTTATCATAGTTTTAACTCTAAATAATTTATCCAACAATGATAATTTAATGTCACATAATAGCTGAAACTATTGCAAACTAAGCTTTGTAACTTATAATATTGTTAATGTTTATAGGTGGACAATCTTAATATATTCTTCTAACCCAACGACAAAAAAAGTGGCATACTTACAGTTTTCATCTTGTTTTGTCAGCGATCAATCTGCCTTTATACTTGACGTTGAAGAACTAAATAAAATAAGCACAACAAGCTCACTATATACTCTCTAATCTGGAACCAGGCTGATAATCTCGACGGTATCGCCACCTATATATAGATATCGAGAGACCTCCTCTGGTAACTGAGTTTGTGTGGCCCAGAACTTGGACAAAGAAAGGCCGAAGTAATGTTAATTAGTGAGGAGGCTTTCCAGCTTTAATAAACAGTTCAAGGATAGGTTACATAAGAGCACTGGTAAAAATTAATGAGTGTGAGTTTCGTCGTAGGAAACACTTTTAATCAAACTAGGATGCTTCTCGGATGATGCAAGTTGTAATATGCTATACAAACGGTGCTGACATACTAAACTCCCGAAAATTTGTGAATGGGTGTTAAGGAATACTTTATACTTGCATTTGATTTGTTCATCTTGTATTTGGGCAAGGGACCTACCATGGGTCGCCGGTTTCTCCCATTCTCTCTCTCAGATCACATTAATATTCAACCTATTTTTATCATATTCTGATCTCACGAATGTACTATTCGAGTACGAAACTTTCTGGGTCAACTTTCACTTTTATTCAAGTAGTATATAACAAATGTGCTTATTAAAAGAGTCCCTTTAGGCTAAACAGTGAAAACTACGTAGCTGGTTCTAAACCAGAACGAGGATATTCGTTTATTTACAGCTATAGATAAAAAATGAACACGTGCCCTGGACGGAACTATTTATTTTAGTGTAACCACTTTTAAAAGATTGTTATTTGTCAAATTGAATTGCTCTATATCTGTAGCACTACTAATAAGATCAGCAAAAAACGCACAAAGTTAAAATGGCGTTGTAATTTAGGCACAATTCTTTTGCATGTTAGTTTTTACGAACAAAACAAAGATTATATCACAAGTTAACTTGTACAGTGTTTGTTTAGCAAGTACCAAAAAAAACAACAACATGAATATTAAAAAAATATTCATTTGGGATAAGCTCTAAAATCATCATTATTAAACTAATAACAAAATTACCCATAAATAACAAAAAAACATTCAAATTTTTCTTCTAGCGTATGTTCCAGTTCTGAAAAACATTTAAAATGGTCTTTATGATCGTAAATAATTGCACATACTAACCACCATGGGTATAGTTACACTGTTGTTTTCAACTTATTTTTGTCAGCTCAGCTGAATTATGACAAAAAATTAAAATCATTTTGTAAATGTAAAATGATGTAGGAATGGCAGTGCCAACAAGAATGCAAACAAGAACATAGGGATGATACAGCTGTACATAGATCATTCCTACATGACTTTCAGTATTAAAATTTAATGTTACAATGTCAAATGCATGAGTACAAAATGGTTACGAGGTCGGTCGATTCGACCGATCTTGTAGTGAGAGTCTATAATAATGAAGACATGTTTTGACTCAACTTATTTTCCTTGTACGTAAGTCCTAAGCATTTAGTTACACTACATTGATGCCTACCTTGACATGACCATGATATTATGATGAACAAACTGCATACCAACAGTTAGGAATATACAACTTCCAACTGCAGTAATATTAAAGTCAAGTGTGCATTTTACAGTGTAACATTAAATTTTAATATTGAAAGTCATGTATGGATGATCTATGCATAACTGTGTCATTTTTATATTTCATGTTTGCATTCTTTTTGACACTGCCATCCATACATCATTTGGCATTTACAAAACGTTTTTAATCACTTCTTTTGTGATGTTTTTCCCCAAAACTGAAAGTTAGTGCATTCTATAAATGTGTGTAATAAAATGTAATTTTATGTGTATTGATTTTGTACTTCTTCACTTTATACATAATATAGAGGTTGGCTTCCGAAAGACCACGATTGTACAGTGTGCAAAGCACTGAGAATTCTACATGTTACAATCATCTAACGTTCATCTATTATTGGCTGGTAATTCCTGTTTCAATCTGTACTTAAGCTTTTTTAAAGGAACACCAGATTTCTATAGAAAAGCTAACTTCAAAGGGTAATGGTAGTGATAACACAACTTACACTAGAATTATGAGTTTTGTTAAATTACTACTAGTTATTACGAGTAAACGATGACATCGTGCACTAGCCAGAAACACATAGAGCAGATTTAGATTTAAACTGACATTAGTGATAAAGTAGTTGTAGAGTTATCTCGACTGAAACATCAAGAAAGATGAACAATTTGGTGGGTTGGTCACTTTCTGATTTAGTATCTTAGGGATGGTTTCTTGCCTTGTTTTGGGCTTATTGGGTAGAGAAACAAATGAGAGTGAGTGTCAATTATCTTTTAAAGTAAAACTCTCTGCCATTGTTGATTTTTTTAGCGTGCACGTTTGTATTATTCCTATTGAGTACCTTGGTCATCCCTACATATAGAGTCTACCGACTCTATGATTAACAAACTATGTTAACTAATTAACTTTTTCGAGACGGGTCATGGGTGAAAGGCCATGTCTTCTCGTTTGTTGATTCGCATTCAAAATTTTATTGAACTACTATTCCATGAACTTATGTCCATAACTTTGGTATCAAACTGTAGATTATAATTCAAATGTTAGTACTATATGTTACTCAATTTCTTA